GGTGTGTGTGAGCGTGACGGTGCGTGTGAGCGTGACGGTGCTTGTGAGCGTGACGGTGTGTGTGAGCGTGACGGTGCGTGTGAGCGTGACGGTGCTTGTGAGCGTGACGGTGTGTGTGAGCGTGACGGTGCGTGTGAGCGTGATGGTGTGTGTGAGTGTGACGGTTTCTGAGGGTGAGGTCAGGCTGCGAGCATGAGTGTGTGCGTTGTGAAGTGTATGAGTGCACGAGTGTGCCTGCACACGTGCACATGTACAGAGCGAGTGTGCACGTGGGTGTGAGAATGCGGCATGCGTGTGCACAGGCGTGTGTGTGAGTGCGTGTGTCCTCTGTCCCTTTGGCGAGGGGCTCTAACCCCACTGTGCCCGGGGCAGCTGCAGGGCAGCTGGGTGCTGGTCGGCGGGTGGAGGGAAAAGGCCCCCCCCGGGTGGGCTCCAGCTGCTCGGCGGGCCCCCTCTCTCGGTCCCCTCTCTGCCGACGTGGGTGGCCTTTCCCCCTTCGCCAGAAACACCGGTGCTGGCGGGTGAGGGGCAAGGTTTCTCCCAGCCGGTCGTGCAGCCCGGTCTCAGTGCTGACACTCTCTGGGCCCCCGGCTCCAGGTCCTCCTGTCTGTGACTCGGCAGCCACCGAGCACGCACAGGCGCCATGGCGATGGGCCGGCCCAAGCGGCAGGCTGCGGGACTGCCGGGCTCGGCCTCCGGGCACACGGGAGGGCTCCCGTTCCCCAGAGGCTGCCGTCGAGCTGTGTCAAGCTGTGACGGGGCCGTGGTCTCAGCACACGCGTGTGCCCTGACAGGCCCGGCTGCGCATGGTCATCACCTATCTATTCGCTCAGCTGAGCCTCTGGTCTCGGGGCGCTGGAGGCGGACTGCTGGTGCTCGGGTCCGCCAACGTGGACGAGAGGTGCGTATGCCCGGCGGGTGCGGTGAGGGGTCCCGAGCACCCCGGATCTCGGACGGGAGTGCTCCCCGAGGCAGCATCTCCACCACATCTCGGCCACTCTCAGCACCGGGGGTGCCGGGGGGGCGCCCCGTCATCCTGTGTCCATCAGCAGTATCATTTCCCCAGCATTTTGCAGGGACTCGAGCGCGAAGATGCACCCCCCGCCCCAGCCTTTCCCCAGGCTCCGCGTGTGGTTTCCGCTTCACGCCGTGTCCGGACCCGCGACCCCGCCCCCCGCCCCCCGCATCTGCAGCCTCGTCTGTCTCCTTGTCCTTGGCGAGTCCACTCCCCTCAAACCGTTTCTCTGTGTCCAGTTTTCACCTGCAAACCAGACAGGTCATTGGCGATGGGGACCCAAGGCTAGGAAAACGGTCAGAGCTTTCCAGAAAGAGTCCAGCTGCCCGTCAGGCCGAGCTGCGGGGGCTGGGAGCACAACCCCTCCCTCCAGCCTTGGTGCCCTGCCCGCCCCCCTCCTGGGCGGGCTCTTCGATGCTGCTACCTGCTCCTTGTTACCTGAGGAGCTTTATCTGTCATTTATTCCTCCATTCAGCTGTGCGTCAATCCGTCCATCCATTTTTCTATTCACTCATCTATCCTTCACTCCATCCACCCACCTACTCATCCATTCGTCCGTCTGCCCACCCACCTGCCCACTCTGCACCCGTCAATCCATCTATTCATCTAGCCACCCACCTGTCTGTTCGTCCGTCCGTCCATCCACCATCCATCCACCATCCGTTATCCATCCCTCTGTCCATCCTGCATCACCCATCTATTCGTTCATCTCTTTATTCATCCATCCACCTGTAATATGGATGTCTTCATCTTCCCGCACCCTGGCATGTCTGCGGATGTCTTTTCTGTTAAATATTTTAGACTTTTAAATCCTACTTTATTACCTAGTTACATCAGTTTGAAATTAGCACGCTACAGCGGGTAAAAATTCTCCCCCTCTCCTTGTACGTTTGGTTCATTTCCACTGCTTTTCTGTCGCCTTCGGTGCTATAGTCAAGGAATGGCTTTTCGGGGGGCGGGGGGGACGTGTATATTCTGGTGTATGTTCTGAGCCCTGATGTAGATGAGAATACTGGTGCTTTGTCGTGTTTTGTCTTCTTTCGTAACGTACGAGAATTTTATTTGTGACGTGATTATGTTATTGTAACGTTTTTCCCCCTCACGAGTTTTATCCGTTGTTTTCTGATATTTAATAGTTTAGCAAAAACTTTTTTTTTTTTCCTCGTGGTAGGGGTTGGTTTCTGGATGCTTAAAGATTTCTAGATGCCTGTTTAGAAAACGGACGTAGGACACGCACTTCAGCAGTCGCCCCGTCCGTCGCCCTGCGCTGCCGGGCCCCGCCTCCCCGACTCGAGGAGACTCTTCTCCTTCGTCGTGCCTTTTCCGGTCCTGTGTGTGCTGCTTGTGCTGGGTTGATTTTCATGGGCTGCATCCCCGGCTCCTCCTGGGCCGTAGCCATTTCTACGTTCCCTTTACATTTTGGGGCAGAATCTCCGGTTTATAATTTTCCACCGTGTTGCTTCTTGTTGAAAAGTTGCTTCTGATTCTGCGTCTTCGTCGCTTCTGATTCCGATCGGGGTCCCGCTGCATTCGTGGGCTCGTTTGTCGAGTAGGCGTTGACCGGCCACCACGCATCGGGCACGGCTGGCACTGTGCTCAACAAAACAGGGACGGTTCTCGTTTTACTGTAGTAGCGCGAGGCAGACGATGCATAAGTCACCCCGTGTGTGTTGCGTGAAAAGCTCACTGAGAACCAAAGCAGCGAAGGGGGTGTGGGGGAGCGGGGTTGTACGTGGGGTGCCCACAGAAGGTCTCCCTGAGGAGCGATGGTTTGTAAAGGTCCACAGGAGGCGGGCGGAGAGGGGGGGCTGGCAAAGGCCCCGAGGTGAGACCCTTACCCCCCGGGCCGCCTCCCGGAAGCAGCTTCTGCCAGGTGGCACTCACAGGACGGGCACGTTTCCGGCCGGATTGGGGGTAGGCGAGTGTCGCAGGTGGCGGGAAGCCGCCGCTTTCGATGCTGGTGTTTCAGGGGCAGCGCCTGGCGTGATAAGGGGGGCCAGAGCCCGAGGCTTCGTAAGGAAAGGACCCCACAGGGAGGGTCAGACAGCGAGTGCGCGTGGTCAGGACCCCCCTGGGCGGTGGGCGGGCTCGGGGTGGGGTGGGCACCGGCAGCCGTCCAGAGAGAGAGCCTGGTGCCTGCGTGGGGCCGGGGGGGCGGGTGTCCGGTGGCTGCGACACCGTGAGTCTTCTGTCACGGTCCTGTACGATTGACGTTCAGCGCAGGTGTCGCCAGGTGTCGCGGGGCGGGGCCGTCCTGGCGAGTGCTTCTCCCTGGCCTCTCCAGCTTTCGGAGGCGCCACGTTCCTTGGCTCGCGGCCCCTCCTCCGTCTGCAGAGCCAGCAGCGCAGCCTCCCTGTGCCTGTCCTGCGGTCACAGCTCCTCCGACTGTGGTCCCTCCCTCCCCTCTGCCCCCAACCCCCGTCTCCTTGTTCCGCTTTTGAGGACCCTTGGGTTGTGTTTAGTGCCCACCAGGGGTCCAGGATAAAAACCTCATCTCGAGGTCCTCACCTTAATCACGGCCACAGAGTCCCCGCTCTGTAAGGTCACGTCGTCACAGGTCCTGGGTGTGGGGCGCGGGCATCTTGGGGGCCACTCTTCGCCCCCTATAGGCGGCATCCGGGTGTGGACAGGTGTGGAGGTGGCCCTGCTGCTGCCAGCCAGGCGCCGAGGCCCCGGCCCTGCTCAGGACGCCAGTCACCCCCAAGCCTGTCTCCTCTGGCACCGAGCGCCTCCTCGGTCACTGGCAGCCGCCGCCCCTGCCCCCCGTCTGCCCCAGCCACACCGGGCACGTCTCCGGGGTGCTGCACGTCGGCGGGGCCCGCACCCCTCCGGCCCGCCACACAGAACCCCAGTGTTCCCCTTGTCACCAGCCTCCTCGGCTACCTGACCAAGTACGACTGCTCCAGCGCCGACATCAACCCCATAGGCGGCGTGAGCAAGACGGACCTGAGAACCTTCGTCCAGTTCTGCACTGAGCGCTTCCAGCTGTCCGCCCTGCAGCGGTGAGTGGCGCCCGTGAGGCCTGGCCTGGCCCCGAGCCCCCGGCCGCCCTCGGCCCTCGGCCTCCTCCTGCCGCTCCCTCCTGTCTGATGAAACCTTCCTGCCCTTCAGGGGGCCCCACAGCCAGGTGCCCCCTTCCTGCCGGCCTGCTTGTCGTTGCTCCCCAGTCCCCGTGGCTGTGGCCAGATGAGGCAGCCGCCGCGTCCCTGGTCCCCTTGCCGCCATCCTGCCATCGTGAGGCTGGCGGTCTGTGCGTCTGTCTCCCTGCTGAGCAGAGCCTGGTGCTTCAACAGAATCTGTTGAATTAGTTAGTACCAGGCGCCGTGACTGACCTCTGTGTGTCCTGGCCACAGCATCCTGGCAGCACCGGCCACCGCAGAGCTGGAGCCTTTGGCCGACGGACAGGTGTCTCAGACAGATGAGGTAACGCTGGTGGCTTCGTCACCGTGCTTCTCCCGTCTCCCTGCTCCTGCCTGTCTGCGTTGGTTTCCTCTTTGCCCCCTTTCCGCTCCGGGGAACCACGCTGCATTACTGGGGTCCTGGCCGGGGAGCCCCGGGCTCAGCGTCAGTCCGCTGCTGGCCTTTGACCTTTTGACTCGGCCATCTCGAGGGGTGACGGGGTGAGTGGGGAGGGGAGTGTCTGCGTGTGCCGTAGGGCGACCTCGGAGAACAGTCTGTTGGCCCCTCCGCCCCGTGCCGGTCGGGGTCACAGGCTGTGCTTTGCAGCGTCGGTGGACACTGAGGGACATGATGGGGACGGCCGTAAGGTCCGTGGCCACTGACCTTCCCGCCGTCCGCTTCTCGGGTCGCGGAGGCTCAGCCTCGCGGTTCCGGCCTCGCGTGGAGGTCTGCGGTCCGGCGGAGCTAACGTTTGCGAATGGTGTTAAATTTACTTCTCAAGTGATTTATTCTCTTAGGTGCTGTCGTAAGTGGAAGCGTTTTCCGAATGTCCTTCCCGGGCGGTTCTTTGCCAGTGTCTAGAAAGTTTTCCGCACTGTTTTTCCGTCCGCTCTCTGGTTTTCCCGCCCAGCCCGGCCATTTCCTTCCTTCCTCGTGCTCTTGGGTTCAGCTCGCTCTTTCCCCGGCGTCGGAAGGTGGGAGCTTAGGTGACTGATTTAAGTACAGGCGTCTGCAACTCTGAGTCTCTTTCGGCCCTGTTTTCACTGCAGCCCATAGGTCAGGGGTCCCCAAGCTTTGTGGCACCAGGGACCGGCGTTCCTACGAGAATCTAGTGCCCGATGATCTGAGGCAGAGCTGAGTGCCGATGCTGTGCGGCCCAGTCCCTAACAGGCCAGGGACCCGTCCCGGGCCACGGCCCGGGGGTTGGGGACCCCGCCACAGGCTCTGATGTGCTGCGGCCTTGTTTCCATTTCTCTCGAGTATTTTCTAATTTTCCTCCAATCTCTTCTTTGACCCGTTGGATATTTGGGAGCGTGCTGTTTAATTTCCTCCTCCTTGTGAATGTCCGAAATGTTTTTCTGTCACTGACTTCGTAACTCTATTCCACGTGGGTCGGCGAGCGGACTTTGTACGACCTCGTGTTTCACAGCGTGCCCGGCCTGCTTCCTGGCCCAGCGTGCGCTCTGTCCTGGACAGTGTCCCGTGCGTGGCGGTGGCCGGGAGTCCTGCAGGCGTCCGTCCGGCGTCCGGCCTTCCACGCCCTGTGGATTTCTTCATCTCATCCTCTCTGTTACTGAAAGTGGAAAACTGGGGTGTCCGACAAGCCCTGCTGCATTCACGGAATTAAAATTCTCACTAGATGCCACACAGAGCAGCAGAGGAGGTCCCGGGCCAGAACCCTGCTGGGGGCTCGGTGGCGGGCACGGCGGACACGGTCACTTTCTCTGAAATGCTTACCGTCCCCGGGAGGGGACACACAAGCAGGAAGTAAGCACAATGGCCCCAGGCGGCTGTGGGCGTGCCCACAAAGCCAACCGGGGTGATCCGACGGTGGCCATGTCCCTTAGACAGGGGTCAGGACAGGCCTCCCAAGGAGGTGAGGTTGGAGCCAAGGCCGAAGGGAGGCCAGGCGGGCACCTGGAGGAGGCGGGCGCGGTCCCAGGAGTCCCCACTGGCCCCAGTCGGAGGCGCGTGCTGTCCCGCTATGTCACAAGCTGCCAGCATCACCGCCGGTCTTTCTGATGGGGCTCTGGCCGTGTATTCTGGGGTGAGGCAGGAATTGAGAGAAAATTGGAGCAAACGTTGAGAAGGGGGTTCAGCTCGCTGAGCCCCGGTGTGGCGCTGCCTCTTTGGAGCAGGGCTGGAGGCAGGCCGCGTCCCCTAACGGGGTCCAGGTGTCACGAGGCCGCCCCGTCTTCCCTGAGCCCCATCTCTGAGGGAAGCAGGCTCAGGGAGGCAGGGCACAGGGCCTGATGCTGGTCCTGGGTTGGTTTCCGGGGGCCACGGTGACAGAGCACCTCAGACAGGGCTCCTTGACACAGAACTGCACTGTCTCCAAGTCTGGGGGCCGGAAGTACGGGATCCAGGGTCACAGGGCCACACTCCACCTGGAGGCTCCAGAGGAGGGTCCTTCCTGTCCCTTCCAGCTCCCAGGGACCCACGGCTCCTGGGCTGGTGGCCATGTCACCCCAGTCTCTGCCTCTGTCTTCACACAGCCTTCACTCGTGTCTTCATCTGTCCTTTGTAAGGGCACCTGTCATGGGATCCGGGGTCCTCTCATCTCGAGCTCCTTAATGACATCTGCTGAGACCCTTTCTCCACGTGAACTCAGTCTGTAGGTTGTGGGGTTTAGGACGTGGACACACCCTTCGTGGGGGCCTCAGTTCGGCCCATCCCAGCCCTCAAAACCGAATGCCTGGTTTTCCGTCATTCTGCCTGAAAGCCACCTCCTCCCGCAGTCACGCTGGGGCCCTTTGGGAACGTGTCCCCTCCCCTGGGTCTCAGTGCCCGTCCCCACGAGGTGCTGTCCGGACACTGACCCTCCGTCCCTCCGTGGGCCCCGTCCATCTGCTCCGCAGGAAGACATGGGGATGACGTACGCGGAGCTGTCTGTCTTCGGAAGGCTCCGGAAGCTGGCCAAGATGGGGCCCTACAGCATGTTCTGCAGACTCCTCCACACCTGGGCTGGCGTCTACACCCCGCGCCAGGTACACGGCCCTGCGGGATCCGACTCACCAGGCACGTAGATGTGGCCTGACTGAACCGTGAGCTCCGACCCGGGGTTCGGCCACGCCGTAGCGGGCACACCGCACCCCTCTTTCTGAGGGGCGGGGAGTAAGCGCGAGGTCAGGATGTCGCTGCTTTTCTGCTCGCTGTCAAGCTCGCCAGGGCCGAGGCCCGCAATGTGGCAGTCCCCACGGAACCTGCCGGAAGCCTGAGGCGTAGGTCTCCTGGGCTGATGCCGTGTCCTGGGGCGCTCATGCCAGGAGCCCACGTTGTTTAAGCTTCGCCGGCCGCCCAGCCCGAGCTCCGGCCTTTGGGGACATTCAGATGCAGCGGGGGGCCCGTCAGCTCACACAGGCCCCCGTGACACGGGGCGGGACCCCGGCCTCGGACCCCGGCCTCAGACCCCTCCAGCTTTGCGCTCCTCGCCCACCAGGTGGCCGACAAAGTGAAGCGGTTCTTCTCGAAGTACTCTGTGAACCGGCACAAGATGACCACGCTGACACCCGCGTACCACGCCGAGAACTACAGCCCCGACGACAACCGGTTCGACCCGCGGCCGTTCCTGTACCGCAGCGGCTGGCCGTGGCAGTTCCGGTGCGTGGACACACAGGTGAGTCCGGCCGGGGAGGCGGGGGCGCCCCCCCGAGGACGAGAAGCCATCGTCCCGACGCCGTGTGCTCCCTGCCGTCCTCATTTCTGCCGAGGGGCCGGAGCGTTTGAAGCCCGTCGGCACACGCTGTTTGGGGGTACGCTCTGTCTACCGGTGTTGAGCCCCCACAATGAGGGGCCGTGCACTGCGGAGTGGGGGTCGCTGGTCACGGTCATCACTGGGGCAGCCGGCCTGTCCAGGCGGCTTCACATCTCCTGACTACCGGCTCTTCCCTCCCTTTCTAACTGGTGGATCATAGAGTGAAGGGTTAATAAAGTCGATTTGAAAAGCAGGCTTGGGTCCCCCCCTTCCCCACGGGAGGCGGCAGGTAAGGCACGGCCCCTCCTGACGGTCATCTCGCGGGAGGAGCAGGACGGCCAGCAGGGAGGGCAGGACGCGCTGAAAATGGCAAATGGGTGAGGGCGACGCTGGGCCCACCTCACGCCTGAGGCCGGGAGGCGTCCGAGGACGCGGAGGCTGGGGACGGAGCCCGCGTGGCACCGTGCGTCCACGGCTGCAGTTCTCAGGGTGAGGTGGTGTCCCCAAAGGACACCGGGCAGTGTCCGAGACGTTTAATTATCACGCCTGGGGGTGGCTCCGTGCTGCTGGCCCTTGCGGGGGACGGCCCCCCCCAACAGAGTCAGTGACAGCCGGGGCTCGGCCCCCACCAAGACGCGTGTCCCCAAGTCAGGAATGGGGTTCGGAGGCTGCACAGCCAGAAGATGGGCAGATATAGAAAGAAGCCCTAGGCCGTGTCGCCCTCGGTGACCGCGTGCGTGCGGAGGCACGTCCTTCCGGGCCCTTCCGTGCACGGGTCTGCGCTCGGCCGCGTCGAGCGCCTCGTAGATCCCGGTTCACGACCCGCCTCTCCAGTTCCCTGACCGCGGCCCTCTCCGTGCGAACGCGCGTCTCCGCTGCGCCCGCGGACGCCGTGTCCTCACATTACACGGCGTCTCCCACAGGTTCTCCAGCTGGAGAGGGGCCAGCGGCAGGACCTGGATGGTGTGGACTGACGTCCGGCCTCCCGCGTTACGCTGGCCTCGCCGGTGGCCTGGAGCAGGGCCTCGGCCACTCCTCCCGGAGCCGGGCGTCAATAGTCTCGTCATTTCACGATTCAAGGGACAGGAACCTTTGAAGTCTAGTTCCTTAAAAAAACAAAAACGAGAACGAAGACCGGAATAAAGAGAATGTGATTTTTAACTAACTCTCGAAGCTTCTCTGTCCACTGCGTTTCTGAGGGTCACCAGCGCCCCCGCAGACACAGGCCGGAGCCCGGGGGGCCTTTTCCAAGACGGGACAGACAGAGTCCCCTGGGGGGAGGTCTGGGCTGGCTGCGCCCCGCCCATCACCCTCCCCGTAGCCTTCACGGTTCTGCAGAGTGGGCTCTCCTCCCTTTCCCCCTCCGTGCTTGCCCGGCCCTCCTCCCTGTCGCTCTGTCTCTAAACTGACTGGTTTTCCTGATTTCCGTGCCTCGGTCACTGTCATTGTCCAGTTGAGGACCTAAACCTACGGGGATGTAGATTCGCCTCCAGCCCATGCCACCAGGGAAGGCTTCAGAAATGGCGTGCGCAGGGCCAGCCGGCCTCCGCCGGTCCCTGCCCGTCCAGACGTCCTGCCATCAGTTAACCTACAAGGTAAACCCACCAGCCGTGACACTCGAGAAACTCGAAAACCAGGGGTAGGGGAAGCAAGTGCCATACGAACACACGGAACGGAAGACCGACGGCCGCTTCCTAATTACACGAGGCGCGGCGAACCCGCCCAGTGTGGAAAGCACAGGGCCCAGGACGAGGCAGCGAAGTGCACCCCTCCAAGGCTGGGGAATGACACCTGACAGGTGCAGTCGGAGAGCTCCCTGGGGGAGGGGGGCCGACAGGGCAGGCGGGGACAGCAGAGGTGCCTCATGGGCGCCAACACTGCACCTGCTCGGAGGCAGGTGAGGCTGCACCGGGCGGACGGTGAGAGCTCCTGATGACGGCGGAAGGTTCTGGACTTCAAGGCCATAGACTGCCCTTTGCAGGTGAGGTGCTGGCTGAGGCAGCTGTGGGGACACTGCCCGCTTGGCCAGGAGCGCCCGGGGGGCAGGAGAAACGGGAAGGACCAGCGAGGAAGCTCTCGTGAGGCCACCGCATGCGGGAAGGGAAGGGAGGGGCCGCAGGCGGCTCCGTGTGGGTGTTGAGCAAGGGGCGAAGGCAGAAGGAAGCCACGGGAGGCCCCACGGGGCCCGATCGCGTCCGAGGGGTGTGTGCGTCCCCGTGACAGACCGTAGACAGGGCAGCTGGGACCGCACACGCTCACCGTCCCCGGTCCCAGAGGCCGGAGCCCGAGACCCAGGTGTGGGCAGGGGGCTCCCCCGAGGCCTCTCTCCTGGGCGTGTGGACGGCGTCTCCCCCCCATCCCCACGTGGCCGTCCCTCTGTGCGTCTGTGTCCTGATCTCAGTTGATGAGGACACAGTCACGGTGGATTGGGACCCACCTCGGTGACCCCGTTTTACTGTAATCGCTTCTCTAAAGACCCCATCTCCAAATGTGGTCATGGTCTGAGGTGCTGGGGGTCAGGACTCGGACACACAAACTTTGAGGGGGGCACGTCTCAGCCCGGAACACAGGTCTGTCTTAGCATTAAAAGCGGGCTTGTCTAGAAACCAAAGTCGATAGCTTAGGCGGGATCAAGGTTAAGCCTATCTTTTCGGAGGCGTAAGCTGAAGACACACCTAGTCCTCCCAGTGACAGTAGAGAACGATGTGGTCACTCCGAACCCTGTGTGTTTTCTCTTACCCACGAAACGACATGAAGCTCCCTGGAGTGGGTCTCACTCTTGCTGCGAATGTCGATCTATGAGGCAGTGTGTGGGGACCTGGCTGGGGACGGAGGGGCTAAAACTGTGTGGCAAGAACACACGCACATCCACATGTGCACACGCACACTGACGTTTGCTCACACACACCCACGCGTGCGCGCACACACCCACGTATGCACACATGAAATAGACCAGACCTAGAATCACTAACTTAAATCAAAACCAGTCATTCCAAAGCTCGGCCTCGCCAGGCCCAGATGACTCCGCAGGGCGACTGAAAACCCTTCAGGTGGAAAACTCCAGTTTCGTGCACGAACTGCTCCAGGGCAGGGCAGGGAGGAGGCTGCGGCGCCGCCAGGGTGAGCGTGTGCTGGGACCCGGCGCGGTCTCCGGGGCAGGCACGACGGTGGAGCCTGGTGGGCCCCTAGGGAGTTTGCCCCCGACCGGTGCCGGCACCGTCTGCAGGTGGCCCCATCCCTCCCCGCTCCCTGCTCTGTCCCTTCCCGCTCTTGCCTCTTCCAGTAACAAAGTGGCCAGAACTTGGAGACCCCACACGACACCCAGGGCCAGCTACACGGTCGTCAGAGAAGCCCTTCCTCGGCTTCAGCCAGCTTCGTTCTGAGTGTGTGTGTGTGTGTGCGCGTGCATGCCTGTGTGCATGTCCGTGCATGTGTGTGCATGTATGTGTGTGTGTGCGCATGTGTGTGCCCGTACACGTGTGTGTGTCTGTGCATGTGTTTGTGTGCGTGTGTGTGCATTTATGTGTGTGTGTGCGTGTGTGTGTGTGTGTGTGTGTGCATGCGTGTGTGTGTGACTCAGTCAGCGACAGCAAATTCTATGCACTCTAGTTATTTTCATAATATTTCAAGCAAGCGCCGTCACTTGGCTGCACAGACGCCACGCGTCCTGGGCCCCCACTCACCTCTCACGATCAGCTGGCTCTGGTGCTCCACAGCCGCGGCCTCGTTCCGGGCTATGCAGGTGTAGTTCCCATTGTGCATCAGGGACAGGTTGGAGATGCGCAAGGAGCTCGTGAAGTCAATGTTGTCGATGGTCACCCCCAGGCCCGCT